AAATAACCCATTTTCAGCTCTGGATTAATAAATAGTAATAGTCCTTTGGTAATAGTCCTTCGCTAATAGTCCTTCGGTAATACTCCTTCATCTCTTTTCCTGCCAGCCCTCTGATGTCATTCGAGGTGATTCAGAAAGCTTTTGGTATCACTCAAAAGACAATGCCTAAACATTTCAGGAGAGGAAGGGAATGTGTTTCCCATCCAAGCGCGGCATTAACACCACCGCCGGCTCCAAACACGAAGCAGCAGCTCCCCAGTGCCCGTCGCTGCCATCGGAGACCTGCCCAGCACCCTGTGCCCTCCAAGAGTGCAATCATGGGGTGTTGAAGGGACCAAGCCCTTCCTACACCCCCAGCAGTACCATGGCGCAAGCCCCACGTGAGCGAGGAGGAGCGAGGAGGAGTATCCCTAATAGCATTTCTGGCGTGTTTTTCACCTCACTGATAAGCCTTCCCGGGTCCTTCCTGCTCCACTGCAGCCATCCCAACATCTGCAAAAGCTGCATGAGATATAGCCTACAAGACAGCACTCACGCACGGGTGGCGGAGGTGCTCGTTTCACAACCACCACAAAAGGTTCAGTTCAAGAAACGGACAAAGGTTCAGGGAGGTTATTTTCCAGTTTCACACCCAGAACTGGTTTGCCTAGACCAGAATAAGCTCGGGGTAGTTACTTAAACACTGGGCTCCATTATTACCAATAAAGTGCATGGTGAGCCTGCCCCTCCCGAATGAGCCAGGCAGAAAACTCGCATCAAAGTTCAGGCTGGGGAATCATTTAAGAGGATAGTGCCTTTTAACAATAACATCAGAGACTTTGGGGCTGTACGTTAGCTGGAACAGGCAAGAGACAGAGCCAAGCTGTCGTCACCAGCTTTTACAGGACTCGGAAACTTTTGTCCTCCAAAATACTTCGGACGCACTCAGATGATCTGCAGATGCTAGATTTCAGCTCTTGCCTGTACCCACAGGTTTTTCTGGTCATAAAACAGTAAGAGTGGCCACAGTGGGTAAGAGCAAAGGTGCCTCTGTCCCTGTGTTCAATTTCCAGGTCTCACTGGGGATGCTTGAGCAAGAGCAAGAACATGTAAGCATAAACAGTGCTTTCCCCGTAATGCTCTCCCAGCTTTCAGCTACTTCCATCAGGCTCAGGAAACACCCCAAGATTAAATTTGCCCATTCAGCAGCCCCCAGATGTGCTCTCTCTTTCAAGAGTTACCTAGTCTTCTGAAAAGATACACACCTCTCAATTCAACAGGTCTGCTCCTGTGGGTCTTGCAACACGTGGCTTTTTTTACTTAATGTCCCCCACTGGGATCACGAAATGTATATTTCACTGCTGACTAGAAAAAACATGCATTTAACCCGCGTTATTGCAGAGGATGTCTGAAGATTGCCACATGGCAATGGGGCATACCCTAAAGGCTCCCGGGACACCTGGCAGCAGCACATAAAGGAAAGGGGCGGACGACAAAGCAGCGTAGAAGCTTCCTGCAGACCTTCAGAGCCCAGTCTTGGGGGGCTGACAATAAACCCGGGCTCCAGAGCACCCACAGAGCTTCACATTTTAACAGCGATACCGCACAACAGAGGGGAGACTGGTCAGCTTGGTCTCCAGTGCAAAACCTGGGTCAAGATCTTTTTCCCTATCAACACTTGGGAGAAAAACCCGACATGCTGAGAATATCTCCCTTAACACTTGGTTCACCTGGCCTTTTCAGGCATCCTCCAAAGGTCTGGAAGCAAAAATGCGGTAGAGCTTCCTTATGCTGCCAGGTGGACATGCCCATGGGCTCCTTTGTTTGGTCTCCTCCACCTCCACGTTTGTGTCCTTCCCCAGTCCCCCTCGGTGGCACCCACCTTCCTGCCCAGACAGGCCCATTCCTCCTGCATGGGCCCAATTTCAGCATCGCCGTTGGAGGGGCTTGGAGTTTTTGCTTTGGGTTTTTTTTGTTTGGATCTCAACCGAAATCGAGATCTGCATTCTTCAGTGTCTCATGAGCTGCTGTGGGGAGGAGGGCCCAGCTCCTACGGTCTGATTTAGCCCTTGTTATTGTTACTGAGTAAAATAACCCATTTTCAGCTCTGGATTAATAAATAGTAATAGTCCTTTGGTAATAGTCCTTCGCTAATAGTCCTTCGGTAATACTCCTTCATCTCTTTTCCTGCCAGCCCTCTGATGTCATTCGAGGTGATTCAGAAAGCTTTTGGTATCACTCAAAAGACAATGCCTAAACATTTCAGGAGAGGAAGGGAATGTGTTTCCCATCCAAGCGCGGCATTAACACCACCGCCGGCTCCAAACACGAAGCAGCAGCTCCCCAGTGCCCGTCGCTGCCATCGGAGACCTGCCCAGCACCCTGTGCCCTCCAAGAGTGCAATCATGGGGTGTTGAAGGGACCAAGCCCTTCCTACACCCCCAGCAGTACCATGGCGCAAGCCCCACGTGAGCGAGGAGGAGCGAGGAGGAGTATCCCTAATAGCATTTCTGGCGTGTTTTTCACCTCACTGATAAGCCTTCCCGGGTCCTTCCTGCTCCACTGCAGCCATCCCAACATCTGCAAAAGCTGCATGAGATATAGCCTACAAGACAGCACTCACGCACGGGTGGCGGAGGTGCTCCGGAGACCTGCCCAGCACCCTGTGCCCTCCAAGAGTGCAATCATGGGGTGTTGAAGGGACCAAGCCCTTCCTACACCCCCAGCAGTACCATGGCGCAAGCCCCACGTGAGCGAGGAGGAGCGAGGAGGAGTATCCCTAATAGCATTTCTGGCGTGTTTTTCACCTCACTGATAAGCCTTCCCGGGTCCTTCCTGCTCCACTGCAGCCATCCCAACATCTGCAAAAGCTGCATGAGATATAGCCTACAAGACAGCACCCATGCATGGGTGGCAGAGGTGCACCAGCTAGGTGCCATGGGGTGGCAAACACAGCACGGCTGGTGGCACAGAGAGCTCAGTGACCCAGGGACACCTTCTAGAGACCCGCACACTGGTGATGTTGTGTCCTACAACCAGCCCAGGAAGGAAGGGGGCTTTGCAGTCTCCCTGTATGGGGCGCTGGTCCACAGAGGTGAAGAGAAATTGCTCAACAGCACATTGTATTTTAATCTAATCTTGTGAAATCAGGATGTACTGGAGATGATGCATTCCATTTTCCTCCTACAACAAACCATGTAGGAGTTCAGGCAGCTGCCAGCATGACACCTCCACTCCTGGAGACGTGGGGCTTCAGTTCCTCATTAACTGCAGCTCCCAGAATCACAGAATCCCATGGGGTTGGAAGGGACCTCCAGAGATCATCTAGTCCAACCCCCCTGCCAAAGCAGGTCCACCCAAAGCAGGTTGTACAGGAACATGTCCAGGTGGATTTTGAATGTCTCCAGAGAAGGAGACTCCACCACCTCCCTGGGCAGCATATTCCAGGGCTCTGCCATCCTCAAGGTAAAGAAGTTCCTCCTCATGTTTAGGTGGAACTTCTTATATTCAAGTTTGTGCCCATTTCCTCTTGCCCTATCCCTGGGCGCCACTGGAAAAAGACTGGCCCCATCCTCCTGACACCCACCCTTTAAGTATTTAGAAGCCTATCCTGTGGAAAGGTTTTTGAGCCTGGAATGGAGACGCAGGACAACTACTGCAACAGCAAGACAGAGATTTACCAAAAGGCCCTAAAATGGCATGGGAAGCAGCTAGCAGGGACAGAGGACAGGAGAACCACTTCTGCCACATCGCTGCTCAAGCCAGTGACACCCAAGGGCCACTCCAGAGGAGCCATGCCCTCCTCCAAAACCCCTGCACTGTTACTTAGGATGGACAAAAGGACTCAGTGTGGGGTTTGGTGCCATTTCACACCTCCCGCACCTCCAGGGCTCACAGGCTGGCCCATCCCAGCAGGATATCAAAGCCCTATTCAGCTTTTGTGGGCCAGGCTAAGCCTATGCACCTACCTGGCTGCTCCCCTTGTCAGCTTCACAGATCCTTTGAATACCCACCACGGGGGGGCTGAGAGGGGGTGTGAGGATTACCCATACAGATATCCCCTAACCCTGGAGCGTAAGGATTACCCACACAGATACCCCCTAAACCCTGCCTGTGCATCAACATATAATAAACTGGTTATGGTATCCAAAGACCCAGCCAGGCTAGAGACATCCTGGCCTCGATAGGCTTCCTCCAAAACATGGAATAAGGAGGTAAAAGGAGGGATTGCCGTGTTTTAAGGAGGGATTGCCATGTTTTCAGTGTTTCTGAACACACTCTGCATTTCTTTGGAGACAGCAGAGCATGTGGCAAGCAGCCAGCACCAGATTAGCTTGTTTTCCACCTGGTTTTCTGGGTCCAGGTGCAATCTCTCAGAGCAGGGAAGAGCACTGGGGAAGAGAAACCCACCTCCAAAAGGAGAGTTTTCTAATGGGCTGCTGCTCCCTCTTCCTCCCCCAGCAGCAAGGACCAGCCCCAACAAGCAGAGCCCTACAGAGACACCTCACCATCCAGCCTCCTGCTGCTCACAAGATTCAGGCTGTGGCAAAACGAAAGGTAAGGAAGTGGATTGTGCCCTGCCCCCACCCCCTGAGCAATTAAGAGATTAACGCAGCCCTTTAAAACGCAGTGATGTGTAGATTTTTAGAGGTTTTCACTTTCCAACCTCAAAGGCCTGGGGGGAGGGAGAAGAAAAACAATGCCTTTTTCTCTACATTGTCAAGTATCAAAATCTCAGCCTGCATTTGGTAAATACTCGCTCCACCCACTTTAAATAGGTTAAAGAATGATTCCCTCTCCATTTACTAACAGGTAAACTGAGGCACAGATCTTAAGTTAGTTCATCAAAGTTAGGGAAAGCTTTGGTGGTGGAAGTGCATATAGAAACCCCATCTTTAACACTGCTTTGTCCCGACCGTTTGGCAGCCCAGCTGCACAAATGACGGCTGGAGGAGGTGGCACCAGTGGCCATTAGTGGCCTTCCAGCCCTGGTTTGCACAGATCCATTATGGGCACCTTACCACTAGATCCGTGAGACTGCATTGCCAGGTAGGAATCGTGCACGTCCTTCCTCAAGAAGTTGAGAAAGCCAATCTTCCTGGCAAACCTGCAGACGAAAGCCTGGTCGTAGAGGCAGTTGAGGAGAAAGCAGCCCTGGATGTGGTCTTCTTCTGTGCCCGGGACCTGCTCCACAAGAGCCAGGTTACAAGTGGGGTCCTTACAGCAGGCTCTCATGCAGTCCCTGCTCCGATAGACCCTTGGGGACGACAAGAAGGTGGCTCCATTTTGGACGGAGGCGTCTATATCCAGCACCAAATCCGGCATTCCTGCTATAAAGTCCTCCAGGCACTTTTCACCAAAGGGTTTTTCCTCCTGCCCTTCGCCAAAGTCCGCCGCCAGCACCAAGCAGACCCAGAGCACGAACCGTGGATCCAGACTCCTTCTGACCATCTTGGTGCCCCAATCCTCACCGCCTCGAGACCTTAGCCTTTTCCTAAAGGAAGGGAGAAGATTAATGAAGCTAAGAGGGATAGTGTCCAGGTGCGCGACACTCCGGGGTGAGTGGGGACCAGGAGAGAAGCCAAGGCTGTGCTCCGGGTCCCCGTTTGCCCCGGGGTGACCAAGGTGTCCCCCCACCCTGTGACTCATCCCCACGCATGCACCCTCAGTCCCCACCTGGGCGGTCTCAGGTGAAACCGATGCTGGGAGCGGGGTGTCCCCCTGGTCCCCCCCCCCAGCTCCTTGGCCCCTCAGGTGTGCCTTCAGCTGCGTCCAGCGGAGACAAAGGCAGGGAGAGCGCAGGAAGTGAAAACCAACTCCCTGAGAGAGGGGAAAAAAAAAAAAAAGAAAAAGAATCCAGTCACTCCCCTGCATGCTGAATTGCGTAAGAGGAAGGGGAGGAGAGCCGGGCTGATACCATCTTCCACTCCTCTGGGGAAGTGAGCCAAGGCTCCCCATGGGAGCTGGGATGGGACTCTCCTTTGTGCAGGTGCAAGGGCACCCACTCGGGATGAGCATCCCACCTTCCCTGTGCCACATCCCTGCACTTCGGCCACCCTGGAGGAGCTGGAAGCTGGGGAGGACGCTGTCTGTGTCCTCCCGTGGTGTGGCCAGCTGCCTGGCACAGAGCACCATGAGCCCAGGTCTTGCTAAACCGGGATGAGTCAGCCTTGCAGCCGCCGCATCGGCGGTGCCCGCTGCCATTGCTGCTGCCAGGGGCTTTGTGCTCAGTGTGGGGCAGCTGGAAACCATCAATTCCCTTCTCTGGGCACACAATAGTCCTCTTGAGTGAAAGCACTTGGTAGCACGCCCAGAGCCTGCCCCGGCACCGCAGCAGTGAAAATTTTTGGTAATCAGCCCCCACTGATGAGCAACGTTTCACTGCTCTCCTTCATCTCATACAGGTCAGTCACAGCCTGTTTGTGTTGCCCCCGCCTCGCAGGACGGTGCTGTTTGGAGCCACGGGAGCACTCACTATGGCTTCATGTATTTTCCCCCTTTCTGCTTCTACTTGCAGATCCAGGATCAAATTCCTCTGTTCAACAGATAAACCGCTGTCATCCACCCCCTCTGCAAACAGTCCTAAAGCCCCTGGGTAAACTGTTCTTACTGCTCTGTCGTAGTCCGCAGGAGAGCAGGGAGCCATTTGTTTGGCCATTATTTGTAGTGAAATACTGCATCCCTTAAAAGAACAGCAGTAAATGTGAGATAGTATTGAGTGACATATCTTCAGAAAGAGATGGTGAGCAGCAGCTATCCCTGGAAGAGCAGCTGGCTTTGCAGTTTTGGGGACTGTTCTGCTGCCCAGTGTTTCTGTTCTTGTCGCTTCTTTCTGTACCTCTTATCCACCCTCATAAACCTTCACGGGATTTATTAAGAGTTCTTGGACATGTTTCCCCCTCCTGGCTGTCACAGACAAACACTATGGGAATGTAACGTTGTGGGAATATTATTTTTCAGTACCTCTCATGACTTTCTATGGCCTTTTCTAACGGGATTTATTAAGAGTTCTTGGACATGTTTCCCCCTCCTGGCTGTCACAGACAAACCCTATGGGAATGTAATGTTGTGGGAATATTATTTTTCAGTACCTCTCATGACTTTGTATGGCCTGACGCTGACATTTGTGTATAGTACTGACTTCTGTTTGAAAAGGGAATTGCTTTCATCTGGCTATGGTGGGGTATAAAAAAAATATAGGCAAAGCCTAAACCATGAAAATAGATGGTAGGGCAGTAGGAGGCACAAGAAGTATCCGTGTTTCCCATTCCACATGCAGACCCCATCTCTGTACCAGGTCTTTAGGACCTGCCTGCAGACTGTGACAGCGGTGAAGGGAGAGCTGACCTTGCTTTCCTGCACATCCTCTAAATGCATGAAGGAGAAATTAAAAACAACAAGGTTGCCTCCTCCTTTTATTCTGCACTGCCCCAGGCACTCTGCTGGGGGCTCCCTCTTGTATTTAACCTGGAAGAGATTTTTTTTTTTCTCCTGGCTAAATATTTAAAGCTTTCAGTCTGGAGCCAGGTGAGACCCAGTGCAGTTCCCCGACACAGGAGCGTGTTGCTCAGGGAGCAGTAAGTCCCATCCCCATTGTAAACCAGCAATCCCAGCACTGGCAGAACTGCCCCTCAACAGTCTGGTTTGGTGTTTTTTTTGTCTAACTGGCAATAATCTGATCTACCTCAGCAGTAGCGTTGTCTTACAGAACCTCTGTCAAGGGTTTCCTGTGAACCTGAGGGACACGACATCTCTTCTGCTTGCGCCAGGTAACATAACTCCTGTGCAGGTAGAGCTGGGAGGAATCCTGGAGTGGCAGCTCTAGCCCCTTTTTATTTTATTAATGTTTATGAAGGGGTGAAGCCCTTCATATGCTGATCAAGCCCAGCCTTGAGTGTTGGGGGGGTTAATAGCTTTTGCTGTCAGCAGAAAGCTGTGCTAATGTCTTGCTGCAAGGTTATCTTCTGCTCACCCTATAGATATGCTGCAAGGTTATCTTCTGCTCACCCTATATATATTTATATTTACTTTATATTCAGCTTTCTTGTGCACTGCTGTCATTTCAAAAGGTTCTCTCCTTTTGTCGTCTTCATCTGTGTTTATTTTAGTGAAATCATACCCTAACTCAGTCTCCAGTTTGGTAGTGCAAGCAATGATCTTCCAATTGCTTCCTTTACAGTAGAGTCTCCATTTCCCCTCCATTATCCCAATGGCCTTTTTTTTTTCTGCACATTTTCCAGTTTCAGGTTTTTTATTATTAAATATGCATTACAGAATTCTACGCCATAGTCTAAAGAATGCATCACCATTACCAAGTATTCAATCTCCTCTCTCTGCTGGAAATGCATGGATGAATACATCTTTTAGGATGACGTTAACATTGTTTGCAGGCTCATTTGCAGAGCCATCTGATGAACATTATATGTTTTATGGATCTCGGTCTTGTTCTCTCCACCATTTTCAGCTGGTCAGCCCCAAGCTAATATTTTTATGACAATTTCCTAAGGAGGTGATCTTACTTTTTATATTCTCTATATTCTTAAATTGGACCCATTTTGGGGGGGGGTCTGGCTTGTTTGTTTGACCTGTAAACATCACACAGGAGTGATGCATCCCACCTCTGTGCTAGTAGCACAGTTTCTAAATATGCCCAGTTCCTTCTGGAGAGGTGCAGCAATTAAAATTTTAGTTGAGATTAGTCCCAAAATCAAGGACTTCTACTAGGAACCTCTCTCTGTTGCAGCAGCTTTCTTTCCAACTCTGTAACCCATTCCTTGCCCTCTTAACCTAGAAATCCCACCGCAGCCCTTCTCTTTGAAACAGATAATTTCCCATGATTTCAGCTGAAGCATGTGCTGTTCATACGAGTGCGAGGGGAAAGCAGGGTGTGTGTTTTTATGACCTGGGAGTGTTTTTTAAGGGGTCTCCTGAAACGGTGAGTCATCCTTAACATCTGCCTGTCTTTGAGAAGTGTCTGCTCTCCGTCCTGCAATAACTATTCAGGAGGTGACTCAGGGAGGGTGAACTGCACCGTAGCTTAATGTTTGACTAAGATTATATGAGCTCTTAGACACGCATGGCTTGTAACACGCTCGGTGCAGGAGCCTGCGTTCACCTGCCTTCTTGTGATTACTATGGAGACCCCCGCACCCATCAGTGACCCCAAACAGGCAGAAAAATCAGGAAGGCTCAATCCAGGCCCCCTTCTCCTGGCTGTGCAGCCCAGCTCGGTGGCATCACCGCTTGCAATGACTTCCTGCCAGCAGCTTGTCCCACCGGCTGCTGCAGGTGAATCCATTCTGCTGCTCTTTACCTGGGAACCGCTCCGTCTTGTAATTAAGGCTCGGGAGACAGGTTTGCTTGCTTGCTTGCTTGCTTGTTTTCTTGTATTTGCCTCAGGTTAAACCTCCTGCTGTGGTTTAGGGGCGAGACCCGGATACAAGTGACGGCACAAAGATGTGGCAAAGGAAGGAGACGGGGAGGGACCTCATGGGGCTGTGACTAACCACCGGTGCTGTGGAACAAAGCAAGGGAAAGGGTGACAGGCTGCTGAGTCCTCCCGGGAGCCATTCCCATTGCATCAGGGGCAGCTTTGGGGAAGGGAGTTATAATAAAGGTATATGTTGTTTCTTTGGGGAAGTTCTTGTTTATGTTCCTGCATAGCACTGGCTTTTATTTTAACGTTGCTGGTCCAGGTAAACCCTCAAGGGCAGAAGCACAGGGAAAGGCAAAAGGGAAAAAAACGTCGAGGCTACTTACACCGAGAAAGTATCTGCATTTTTGTTTGTCTACGCTAGGCTTTTACAGAGAGATAGGTATGGAAGCGGGTCCCTTTATGAAGCAAAGAACCTCTAGTTTGCAGAATAAATTTATCATTTCCCAGTGAAGTCCCTGTAGACAACCTGAGCTGTTCTTTCCGGGTCCTGTGAGTGGAACAGGATCAGCCGTGGGGTTCCCCACAGCCCCTCCTTCTCCATCGCTTCCTTCAGTGACTGCATCCTGGGAACCTTCTGACTTTCAACACCTTCAGGCCAAGCTGCCGGTGCCTCCTGCGAGGGGCTGCCCTCCCCTCTCTTTGTAGATGGCAATTTCCCTGCAGCTGTGAGCAGTACAGCCCCAGCAAATGTAATTGCACCCTTTCTAGGGGATTGGGTCACAATAAACTTGTTGGTGCAAGAGCTACACAGGCGGCCTCTGCAATCCTGAAATGTTGAAAGCAGGCTGGAAAACAAGGAAGATCCCCTTCATCTATTCAGCCAGTGCTTCTCTTGTCTCCAGCTCTACCATTCAAGGACTTGCCGAAACCTTTGTGTCACATAAAACCACTGATAATGCTTTCCAGTGCTGCCGGCCTTTTTCTGCAGGGGAACAGCAAAGCCATGCAAGAGGGAGCACAACAAAACAACATGGACAGGTTTTCAGCGATCCCCAAACGATCCATTTGGCATCTAATTCAAGTATTCGACGGGAGGGGGCTTCCTCCTTAGTGGAGATGCTTACTCATCCCAGTACCTATGGGATGTCCGAGGGTGGACCCAGACAGGCAGAATTAATTGCCTAAGTAAGGAGAGAGTGCAGGGTTTGCTGCTCCTCTGCTGTGCCAAAGCAGTAAGTACAACTATTTCTCATTTACCCTTCTCAGCTGCTGATGAGCCACAAGCCTTTACGCTTCACTGGGGTGCCAGTAGCAGAGGCAGGGGAGGGCAGGAAGGCAGGAGAACTCATCTCACCTTTATTGTGAGACCTGTCTATTTTCTGAGGTGGTGCCAAATAGTGCCATTTCGGGTTGATCAGTCAAATACTAAGTTGGGAAATGCTTTCCTCTGTCTCTCAGCATTCTTCCTTCTCGCTGCCCTTTCACTGCCTTATGACAGGGGAGACTCTCAGGGCAGAGGAGTGATTGCTGATTATTGCCTGACTGAAGTTATACAGGCAGCGTGTTGGTGAGAAGGCAGCAGTACTGCCCGGGGGAGAGGTGAGAACGGTGTGAGCTGGAAACACCTGGAGGCTTCCTTAACTCTCCTGGAGCCAGAGGTGAGAGGAGATGTGCTTTCCCTCTTCTTGCTAGACTGCTGGGGTGACAGTGCAGCCTTTTTGGTTTCCACGCTCTGGCAGAGACACTGGAGGATGAGGGAGGTGGATGAGGGATGTCAGGATGCTGGGTGTACCAGGGCTGCTCACACGGGGCTCTGGACTTCTTGAATCTCCAGCCCTGCCTACATTTTCTCATCTGGATAAACTTATCTCTGGCCCTGTTCCTGCTCACAGGAGGATTCAGAACCTCTTCACCTTGTGGTGTCAACATAAGTATTGATACAGTCACCTCTGCTGTCTTCCCTGGTTTAATTTGTGTTAACTACCACGTTTGCAACCACAGGGAAAGTGATTATTTTCTAAAGCAGGTGGAGAGTGGCTTCTGGCTGTCTGGAAGGGAAACATTCCTCTCTAGGCTGGGACTGGAGGGAGAGGGGCCGACCTGGTTCTCTAGAAAGTCGAGCTGGGTCCCTGCTGAATTATTGAGTGTGCACCGCAGCCGTCAGCTCGGAGAGAAAGAGAAGCACCAGCTTGGGTCACAGGTGTGGGCTGGAGATTACCAGCTTCAAGAACAGAGGAGGGTAACCAGATCTGCCTCGTGCACTTGGTTGCTCTGCTGCCTGGATCGGTGTCACCGCTGCTTGGCACTACGACGCAGATGCTCAGCTTGGTTTGGTGGCCCTCCCGGGGGCCCCAGATGGTCACAAAACCCCAGCTCCACAGTATCGAATCCCTCTCTCCTTTCAGAGGCCAAACCTCACTCTTAGAGCAGGCCTGGAGGAGCAGCGGCCCCAGGTCACACACGAGGAAACTGAGGCACGGTGTTTCAGTCTAACATTCAAACATGATGGCCACTTTTAAACCCCCTTTATTCACCTACACAAGTGATAAGCAGATTTGCAGAGGCCATGATCACCAGCAACTGTGGCAGAAGGTCCATTGGAGCTTACCTGTGCTTAGCTCTTGTGAAAAAAAACCCAGATTGTCTGAGTAGATGACTTAGTTGCCCAAGTTTGTGTGTTCCCTTCTGAGATTTCAGTCCAGGTTGTATGTCCAAGGCTATGAGGAGAGACAACTAAACTGAAAACAAGATGTCCTCTCCCAGCCGTGCCTGAGATCTCTGAGATCCCCCTGTTGTGCACGTCCCAACAAAATGGTGAAGGTCCTTCTGTCCCTTTTTGCCGCCTGAATCTGCTGCGATGTGAGGAAAAGGACAAGATGTGCCACGTGGCCACTTCTTGTTTGGTGGCAGCTGGCACTTACCAGCACTGGCAAGTGGCTGGTGCACCCATAGGAGATGCTGCCTTGTCCGAAGGAGACGTTATCACTTATCCTGCATGAGGCACCTGATCTTGTGCCTGCAGGAACTTCTACCACACCCTCATGGAGTGATCTGGCACACAGTCTTTTTACTTCTTCCTCTTGCTTGAATCATAGATTTAAACAGTTTATTACTGAAGGAGGCCTACTTTATCTGTAAATATTTATTTCTATATTGCCACCTCCTCATTACAAAGAGTTCATGACTAAGCTCATATAAGCCAAAACAGTTTGATGAACATCCTGTAATTCGGCTCATTTTGGCCAACATTTGGCTTTCCTCAGAGGGCATCTGGCATTCCCCTCTGAATGCCTTCCTCTGCTGTAGGGTGGCACTGACAGAGCAGCACGAGGGCACCAGGGTCTGCTTATTACTTTGTCGATAGAGTATGGACAGTGGGGTGAGTCTGCCTGATGGACCTTCTCAGATGTGGTATCTCAGCACATTTGTTGCTCATGCTCAAGTGAGGTTACGAGTCAACAGTGGCTCAAGCTGTTTGAAGAGCCATTAGGGCAGGTTACGTTCCCCTTTCCCTTTTCCTCACACCTATCCTCTGACCTCTGGGTCCTCTGCTTCATGACTCCAACGATGCTGGCAGGGGACTAACAGGGCAAATGCCAGCTTCCATGTAGAGCTGAACTGGCTCAACGAAGAGCACCAGAGTCAACACAAGGGGTTGGAAGAAGGGGACAACTTCCCTGCCAGCCCTTCAGCCATCGCAAATTTTTGGGCTGACTTTGCCAGGTAATTTCTCTTGTAAGTCTGGTCTTCTTTCTCCAGCCTGTCTGGAGTTCCTCGAGATCAAGGAAAATACAGGTTGTTTTCCCCTGTTAAAAATTGTCAGTCCTGAATAGAAGAATAGAGCACTTCAGTTGGGAGATGGGAACTTGACACCTGGTGGTGCCTGTGTTTTGGTTACCTTGTGAAAACCTGCCTGTGTTGGGCCAGCATATTAACCTTTGAAAAGTCAATAGTTGTAAACACGATAGGATGTTCAATGGGTTTTGCAAGGTTTCTAACAGTTAAGGATCCCTGAAGAATCTGCACTCCCTGAATATATTCCTAGCATCTCACACATGGATTTTTCTGGGAAATTTTGGTCTAAATAAGAGTTTTAGGAGTGAGATTAGATGGGGGGGATGCAGCCAAGCAGTGAGGAAAAAAATGGGTAAAGCTGCTTAAATTAAATAGCTGTCATCTGTCTTCTGAACAGAAATTTTAGGCTGTCTGAAAAGCAGAGGAGATGATACCAGTTTCAGGTACACTTTAACTTTCACTGAATGTGGAAGCAAGTTTCAGGATCAGCATTTTGTGGAATCTTCTGCCAGAAAAGGCTTTTTTTTTCTCTCTCAAATTCAGGATGAAAAGAAGGGCTGGAACGGCCCTGCCCATTTTTCTATCACCCTGTGTACAAGTTGTTGCTGGCTGTACCACCATCCCTCTGGGCACAGAAATGTGGCTTTGGCAGGGAGGCTGGTATGACTTCCAGAGGAGACCACCCCCCCTACAAACACCCCCATGCTGCCCGGCAGGAGCTATCAGTGGGAGAAGGGTTGGTCACTTTCCCTTTGGTTTATCCAGCTCTTGGTCTCCCAACTGGAAGTACCTTGGCTGCCAGGAGCAGCAGAGACTTACTTGCTTTTTCCACATAAGTGACGACACTGGTGGGGTTGTTGGTTCTGCTTCACGATGGAGGGTCTCAGCTGGTTTGTCCACCTTGCTTTTTCCACATAAGTGACGACACTGGGGTTGTTGGTTCTGCTTCATGATGGAGTGTCTCAGCTGGTTTGTCCATTCCATAGGGCAGCTCCCCGGGCAGGCTGACGGAGGGCTCTGGGAACAGATGAATAAAGAGGTGTGATACAGCATCTGGAGGCAACACTGTTGTCCCAGTGTTCTGGCACCCTATAAACACCTCCAGCCTGATTTCTGTTCCTCTGAACAGCGCTGCTCACACGTATCCTTCTAAAATGGCATAGGGCAATAACGCTGCAGACCTTTAACCTGTCTTCCAGTAAGAGCAAGCAATGATAATATAATATACAATAGCAGTTTATGATGCTTCAGCAGGTGAACCTGCTTACCTTGAGTTTACCACCTTCTGCTGGGAAGGAGATAGGGCTATATCCATAAACAGGCCTTTCCCTGCAGCGTCATCGCATCAAATATTGTACTTTTTAAAAAAGTAAAAGTACAGATATTTTGTTTTATCTCAGAAGCGCCTTGCTCAAATGAGCTCAAATCCAGGCCACTTGGATTTCTACAGAAATTTTTGAGAAAGCTGGAATAAATTTGCAGATTGTAGAACAACGTAAAATGGTGAGTGCAAGTTTGGTGTACAGCATCATTGACTGAGTGTTGCCACCTGTGTAAAATAGTGGAGGTAGCCAGCTGACTCCACTTCTTGTCTGTGCTGGGTCCAGCTGCAAAACATATCTCAGAAGCGCCTTGCTCAAATGAGCTCCAATTCAGGCCACTTGGATTTCTACAGAAATGTTTGAGAAAGCTGGAATAAATTTACAGATTGTAGAACAACGTAAAATGGGACTGTTGAGTGCAAGTTTGGTGTACAGCATCACTGACCGAGTGTTGCCACCTGTGTAAAATAGTGGATGTAGCCCCCTGACTCCAGACCACTTCTTGTCTGTGCTGGGTCCAGCTGGAAAACGCCAAATCCACCATTTCAATGGGAGCTAAATGCTGTAGCTGCAGGCAAAGTAGTTCACGGGGGCTCCTGGAGCTTGAACCCAGCAGGATTCAATGCATTATGGATCAGCCCTCTGGAATTGCACATCCATGTAAGTTATGCCCATAGGAAACCGGTAATTTAAAGCCTCCTTCTTCCCCACCTCTTGGAGCTGCCTGGCGTTAAATATTAACCAGCTCGTTTCATCAATTCCGTGGTTCACTTGGCTTCTTTTAACAACAGATGTTATTACAACAACTCCTCCGCCTGCCTCCCTGCTCCTCTCAGCACGGCCCATGGTGAAACCCAAGAATCTGCTGCTGTAACTCTGCCTGCAGAGCCCGGCTGCTGCCCCGGCCGTGCGGTCCCCCCACCACCTCTCTCCCTGGGATCACCGATGCTGCCCACCTTGGGTGCCTGTGAGCAGCTTGTACTGTGAGCCACCCGTGGCAGAGGAGGTGTTGGTGAAAGGAGACGGAGGAGTTGCTGTGGTGAAGCAGTGAGCATGGCCAGCGACTCCAGCGCGCTGCCCCGGGTGACTTTCCAGACGCCAGAGAAACCCGGTGAGGAATCGTCGCACAGGAAACTGGGCAAGTTAACCATCAAGTACAACCGCAAAGACCTACAGCGCTGGCTGGACCTGGAGGAATGGATCAACACCCAGCTGCAGGAGCTGTACCAGTGCCGGGTGAGTAGCTGGGGCAAAACCAGCCCCTCACTCAGCAGGTGAAGGGGCCCTGAGTGCTGGGACAGAAGTTTGCTTGCTCTGCCTCACTGGAAATAGAATCATAGACTGGTTAGAGTTGGAAGGGACATTAAAGATCATCGAGTTCCAACCCCCCTGCCACGGACAGGGACACCTCCCACCAAAACAGGTTGCTCCAAGCTCCATCCAGCCTGGTCTTGAACCCCTCCAGGGATGGGGCAGCCACAGCTTCTCTGGGCAACCTGTTCCAGTGCCTCATCACCCTCAAGCAAAGAATTTCTTCCTAATATCTATTCTAAATGTCCCTTCTTTTGGTTTAGAACCATTCCCCCTCATCCTATCACTACACTCCCTGATAAAGAGTCCCTCCCTGTCTCTCCTGTAAGCTCCCTTTAGTTACTGGGAGGCTGCTATAACAGCTTCTCATCCTCAGTCTTCATTGGGTATCTAATTGCCACCTGCTACAGCATTCTCTCTGACTGGTATGTCTGCAGAGAAGCTTGC